CAGCCCATAAGGTATTTCTATATAACAGCCCTTGAGGCCTTCCGCTTATAGAATTATTTGACCTGGGCCAGGGACGTCAGACTGATACTGAACATTATATATATGGATGATCAGGAACTCATGATTTATTCTCTTATTATATTTCTGAAGGATTAAATAAAACAATAATGAAAAAATATACCTCGAAATAGATAGAATAAAACAATCTTCCAATAATTAGTAACAACAGCTTTTATATTTCATATTTTAATCACGTAAGGCTTGTACTAACAAGTTTTTATTTAGAAGAACCATTTCTTTATACGGGTTTAAATTCTAATGATAATACATTAATAACTTTAACAATTCCACCTGAACAAGATCCAAATTCAATTTTTTTAAATACTATTCTTTCATCATCAACATCAACACGAAAACGTAAAGGTTCAACTTTAACAAATGATCGTTCAATAATACCAACAACTGATTCATTAAATTTAACTAATCCAACAAAACGAGGACGCCATCGAACAAAAAATTTACCATCAATTGATGATATAGAATGGGCACCTGATAAAGAAAAACGTCCTATTAAATCAATGAATAAAAAACAAAATAAACAAATAATATCATCAACATCAACAACAAGTATACTTAATACATTATTACAATTACCATCAAATCAACCAAAACAACGAATAAATGAAACAAACATAATAAAAACTATTCATCAACCACCATCATTTGTAAATACTGTACTTTCATCAAATCCTTTTTCATTAGAACAAAAATAAAGATTAGCGTTTATTTGTATATATATATATATATGTATATTTGATTTAATTTAGTTTTCAGATGACACGTCATTCAAGAAATTCAACAGCTAATGCTGTTTATACATATCATGAAAAACAAAAAGATTCATCAACTGGTGGTTATGGTACAACACAAATGCGTCTTAGTAAAGATGCTATCAAAGAATTTGATTGTTGTAATTTAACATTACAACCATGTATAGATCCAGTTATTACCAAAGATGGCTATTTATTTGATAAACAAGCTATACTTGGTGAGAAAAAATACAAATTATCTAATTGAATATTAAGATTATTTGTAAGAAATGCTAGGATTATTCATTGCCTGGATGAGAATATACAAAATTTAATAAACATTTTAATTTGAAATAAGAACTTAGATAAATTTCTGTGACATTATAATTGTTGTAATGTCTATAATAAAAAGAATTTTGTTATCTCAGATGAATAAAGTATGAGCGAAAAATGATAAGAACCTAATAGTCGAATTTCTCCAGCTGTAAACCTACGAATCTGAGCACTGGAACTATTCGGTGCATGAAAACTTGATCCATATGAATAGTAGTCGAGAAATTTATAGAAACACAACAGAAGAAAGGCATAAGACGATATTAGTAAATTAAAAATCGTTACCAAGAAGCACATGCACTATATGAAATAGAACTTTTTTTTTTTTTCTAAATTAAAATTATTCGATTCATAGATTTTCATGAAATGATATCAAAATTTATTCTGAAAGAAAATTTGAATCAAAAATAAAAGTATTTTAATTATAATATATATCTAGATCAATTGATTATGCAGTCAAAGTTAACCTCTGATGTAAAAAGAAAAAATTTAGCCAAAAATTCATTATTAAATACGAAAGTTTGTTTGAAATAGATGATTAAAATATTAATGAGTGAACTTTTTTGAGACATTTCTACAAACATGAATTTATTTCTGCCTCTTCTATGTAACAATGTCTTGGAAAGTAATAGACGTTTTTATATGTTGCAATTATTAAAATTAGAAAAAACTACTCATCATTTTTAAGTGAATATTTTTTTATTATTTTGCATTGAATTAAAGACTTTGTTCAAAAATTCGCCATAAATTTTTCGACTAATTTACGTATCAAACAATTGTCAGCGATTATTTTCGTTCGATCAAGTTTTGCTTTCTCGGAATAATTGATTTGGGATATTTCATAAATCGAAGTAGAAAATAAGATATTTTAAAAGTTACGAAATAAAAAACAAAAACAAAATTTGACATTTACTTTATTCTTATTAATATATCATTGAATTTGGGTTTTTTTTTTTGTAATTTAGAATATATTGTTCATCAAAAAAAGCTTAATGCTCGTAAAATGCGTGAATATCAAAAACAACTTGAACGTAAACAACAAGAAATTGACGAACAAAATGCTAATGATGAACAAAAAAAATTAAATAAATTTTTAGAAAAAGAAGCAACATATTCTGTTAATCAATCAGTTAAAACTCTTCTCTCATCTAAACATCAAGATCAAACATTATCATCATTTCTTACAACACCAAAATCATTATTATCATCATCAATTCCTCCAACACCAAAATCAACACGTATATCAACAAATGATGATAATCATGATGAAACATCAGCAACAACAACAACATCATCATCATCATCAAATTTAAGTAATATGGCAGGAAATCAAGCAACACAATTACCTAGTTTTTGGATTCCATCATTAACACCAGCTGCAAAAAAAGCTGAATTAAAAAAACCTGATCAACATGTTTATTGTCCTATATCAGGCAAACCAATAACAATGAAAGATTTACTTGATGTTAAATTTAAATTAGCTAATAATGTTGATCCAAAAAAACGACCATTAGTAGCCGTACGTGATCGTTATGTTTGTGCTGTTACTGGTGATTTACTTGGTAATTCTGTACCTTGTGCTGTTTTACGAACATCAGGTTATGTTGTTACAATGGATTGTATTAATCGATTAATTAAATTAGATATGATTGATCCTATAACAGGTGATAAATTAACTGATGATGATATTATTCCAATGCAACGTGGTGGTACTGGTAAGAAATAGTTCGAGAAAAATAAATATAAAATTCATTTTGCTTTTCTTTTTTCCTTCAAGGATATTCTGGATCAGGTGTACAATTAGATGCTAAATTACCAACACCTGCTATGCAATAGTCATTAATTTTATTGTATACATGAATTTATATATTTGTCGTCTTTTTCTTTTCAATAAATATAAGCTGACATGAATGAAAAAAAAATTTTTTTTTCACACAAGAAAAGTTGTCAAAATGTTATATAATCTTTCCAATCGAATGATGTCTCTCACATGTTCTGTTGTAGAAATATGCATTGACAAGAGAATATTCGCAAGTGAGCTACTTCATTTCCTTCTATATTTTGCTAATATGTAGGATATCACAAAAAGATTTTCTGCTCTTACTTAGATTTAGTCGATCCTGTAGGAGTTCAATTTTCGACCTGAAACTTTGCATATGAGATCGTCTAATTCGAGACTTTCATATGTACTAAATTGCAGTTCGAAATTCCCAAGTAAAATATTTTTTTGTGGAAATTGAACTTCTTCAGAATCGATCAAATCCAAGCATGAAGAGAAAACTTTTGAAGTTTATACTACTCTAGTAATCTCCTATATATTGACAACCGGAGCAGCTCGTTCACGAATGTCCACTCGTGAATTTCACAAGACTCTTTGTTCAATTGTCTACAAAATCATATAGAAATCGTTTATTTAATTTCCTACTTTGTAGGGTAAATGAAACAAATGTAGATCTGAATGAAAAATTTTATTAATATGAAAATTTTCAACCAAATACCAAGATCATAGATGTTACAATCACTCGAATGGAATCATATGATAATATCGATTTTGATGTACATGTTTATAATAATATTTTTCTCTTTTGTTTTGTTTGTAACATTTATAGTCTTGATATTTGGTGAAAAATGATTGTTAAAAGATCGAAAATTTTCATTAAAAACTTCTACATTTGTTTGATTTATTAGATATTGAATTAAATCTCATGTACTATTGCTATGCAGAGAATATCGAATTGTAGTCTCTTCTCTCAACATATAGTGGTTTCCAGAAAACGTTTTCTTTGGAAAGTTTCAACGGCTATGCTATTATTGAGCGAATATAAAACATGATAAAGAAAGATTTTTCATGTAATGAAGAGAGTTTTTTCTCATGATAATTTTCAGTAAGCATTATGATACATTGGAATTAATTTCTCGAAGCTGAATGGAATGTAATCACAATTCGACAGATTTTTCTTACAATGGACGTGTTTGTGGCAATAAATAGAAAGATGAGACATATTTGGGTCAAATGAAAGCTTGCACTGTCAAACTAACAAGATTAAAATATTAGCGACTGTTGACTTGGTTAGAGGACGATATTCGATTTTTACGGTACTCACAATTTGAGTATATAGGAATATTAGAATTATGTGTATTGATTTTTTATGTAATCAACTAAGTAATTCAATAGTAGGCTACAAGAATCTTTTTGAAATTTATCAATAGTATTAAGATCACATTATTAAGATGAATTTATTGAACTGAATACGATACTACTTATCGAAACTAATGTGATCTTAATACTATTGATAAATTTCAAAAAGATTTTTGTAGTCTACTATTGAATTACTTAGTTGATTACATAAAAAATCAATACAAATAATTCTAATATTCCTATATATTCAAATTGTGAGTACCATAAAAATTGAATATCTCCTTCTAACCAAGTCAACAGTCGCTAATATTTTAATCTTGTTAGTTTGATAGTGCGAGCTTTTATTTGACCCAAATATGTCTCATCTTTCTATTTATCAACACAAACACTTCCATTGTCAGTGAGAAAAAACAACTGAATCACTTGTTTTTTGTAAACCCCCTCCAAAAACTTTGAACAGTGGATAGTTTAGAAACCTACGGGAGCTTCTATTGTGCGAGAGAGTTTACCAGAAATTAGTAGATGTTCAAATAGGAAAGCATTACTCGATCTTCTCTGAAAATAAAAAGATTAAATCAACAGTTTCCACATGATTTTTTAGAAAATTAAATACATTTTTCTGCAATAGATATACACTGAATCCCAAATTCTGACTTGTCGTTCGGATTCGAGTTTTTCCTCTAGTGTGATTGCAGACCTTCAGTTCTTCAATCATTATTCTTAATTAAAGAATATTTCATTAATTAATAATCCATCATTTCAATCACATTAATAAAAACAATATATCAAATATTATATATTATTATTCTCATGAAACAGGAGAATATGTATACTAACACCATCTATCATTAATTTCCAAAACAAAAAAAAAAAAATAACTAGCGACATGCGATTTTTTTTGAGTGACCTCTTTTTTTTTCTATATGACACGCATACTCCATTTATTTATCCGATTGGTTTTCAATCGAAACACATACGTGTACGTATTCTCATATCCATATTTTCCCTAACGCTCTCCCATTTATTTAATCTGTGTATTAGCAATTTTTCAAATCATTTATTTTATTTCTTTTAACTAATAATCATGCCCGCTTCACCTAGTGGAACAAGTGTATGTATTTTGTTTAGAAAAAATTTTTGTTAATTAAGTTTATTTCTTTTTAGGTTGGTAAAGGCGATTCAGGTAAAACATCAGGACCACGAACAACAGGTGGTGGTGGTGGTGGTGGTGTTCGTCAACGAAAATCAACAGCACCTGCACGTAGTCGACCAGGAACTGGTGGTGGTGCAAGTGCTGGTGTTTGGCGTTTTTATACAGAAGATTCACCGGGTCTTAAAGTTGGTCCTGTACCTGTACTTGTTATGAGTTTAATTTTTATTGCAAGTGTATTCATGTTACATATTTGGGGTAAATATACAAAATAATCGTGCAATATATATATATATATCAACATCAGGAATGATTAAGTGCGTTTGTTATTGTTGTTTTTTATGTCTTATGTTAACGTATCTTTTTGTTTTTTTTTGTCTTAAAGAAAAAAAAAATATATATATTGCGATGCATATGATCGATCTTAGTTATTATCTTAAGATCATTTGTTTCTTTCTATTAGATAAAACAAAAATAGGATTCATTTGTATAGAAAAAGAAATTTCATCACATATTTTAATTTGAACTATAAAAAAAAAGTTGATATTAGTGTTTTTTGTTTTTTAGAAAACAATAAATGATAATAGATGATTTGATTTTTCAACTATGTATTATATAAATCAATAATATAACTTGCATAACTATATTGTCGATGTAGTATCTTTAATACCTTCTATACTTGTTGTATCGGTTGTTATCTCTTCAAAACCTCGTGCATACAATGATTTAAAATCTTGTTGTAATATTGTATTATGAATTCGATAATGTATTGATTCTAACTGACAAATTTGCATGTGTTTAATTTCTTCAATTATTGTCATTTTAGAAATTCTTTCTTAGGAAAAATTATTTAAGAAAGAGATAAAGATTTATTTTTCGATAAATCTAAAACAAATATTCAAATAATTAGAAGGTGAAAAGAATTGAAATTTTCACTATGAAAATATTGTGAACCAATGAAAATTAATGTACAATGCAAGTGTTTAAATAGAGTCAATATTATATTTCATATGAACGATAGTATGAAATAGCATGTTACATAAATATATAGTAATAGATTGGATCAGGATGGGGCGTGTCACAACTTCAGGGAATGGGAAACCTTTGACATCCCACAAGATGGGTCATTCTATTTTACTAACTTCTCTTTTTCCTTTCCAAAATACGAAATTTACAATGTTGACTAATTTATCCTTCATGTGAATAGATAAGAATATCGTCTAGCCTTTTATATATTACACTGATATTCTAAACGAGAATGCATTTTTCCAACATAATAGTAAATTCTTTTATGGTATATATACATTGTTTTTTGTTTTTACTTCTGATTTCTTTTAACTAGATTCGTATTTATTAAATAATAGAGTTTTATTTTATCATATATTTCATAGTTTATTATGAAATAAATATTTATATATATAGATCATGCAGCTACATCAATTTGATACATATCTGTTTTATTATAAGATTCATCAGAAAGTATTTGTTGATGATTTTCAAGTTTAATTGAATTTGAAATTTGTTGTTTTTGTTTTTCAACATTTTGTAAAGATGAATTCGATTGAATTATACTTTTAACTGTTTTTAAATTTGTTGGTTCACGTTCATATACTTCAGAAAATACATGAATCAATCGTTGAAAACGTCGATCTTTTGTTGCACTTTGAGATTTTTCAGATACAAAAGAATCATAATTATATTCATTATCATAATCATCGTCAATATCCAGATTACCAAATAAATCATGAACAGTTAATGGTGCAAGAGTATTTGAACGAACATGATTTTGTTTTGTTGAATTTCGATGATTATTTTTTGATTGATTTAAACGATATGTACGTTCAGATGATTTTTGTTGTTGATTAGAATATTTCTGTGAGATAATTTGTGGTAGCTTATCTTTTTTACTTGATTGTTCTCGTGAAAATGTTAATTCAGATTTCTTAGTTGAATTTGATGTAAATGATTGAAATGATGAACTTGTGAATTGTTCATTTTTACTTAATCTATGTTTTGATAATGTATCTTGAGATTTATCATTTATTAATGGTTCAATATATCTATATAGATATATATTTCGAAATTAAAAAATAAAATTATCAATACTTTTTTTATTTTTTACATACGGTAAAAGACCAGGCATTATTTTTTCTGCTTTTGTTCGTTGATTTTTAATAAATTTATTTTTTTCAAAATCGCATTGAGCAATTTTACGATGATGTTCACCGGTTAAATTAACTATATCAGAAAAATATTGTCGACTTAACATAATATTTTGTCTTGTATCAGTTGACAATAAACCCAGATCAGGCGTAAATTTTTTTGCTTTAGCATCTTTTTTCATCCAATTAGGTATTGTCAAAGGTAATTGTTGTCGTTTTGAATACATTTTTTTTTTTCGACGAATGAATAGATTTTTAAAATGTTTTATATATCCAACAAACATTCTTATTAATCGTATGTACATGAAAGAAGAGCAAGAAAAAAAAAGAACTTGTGAAGGATATTTATGTTATTTTTACTAATTAACAGGTCAAGTATCATACA